CTTATGGACTTAGAAGATGCAGATGAGAGTCCTGTTAGGGGAGGATGTTGACAAAATGCAGAGTCTTCTGAACACCTTAAGCAGCAATCTTCGTATGTTTGGCATGCGATTCGCCCCTACAAAATGCAAGATGCTGCTACAGGACTGGAGCACGTCAACTCCTAACTTAGTGATAGGGAGTGAAGTTATAGAACATGTTGACCACTTCACCTATTTGGGAAGTTGTATCAGCACCAACGGACTGATTGGCGATGAAATCTCAGCACGGATCCAGAAAGCTCGAGCTGCTTTCGCTGACTTACACCATCTCTGGCGTAGGCGCGACATCCGGCCATCAACCAAGGGATGTGTGTACTGCTCATCAGTTCGCTCCGTCCTTCTCTATGGCTCTGAAACATGGCCAATACGAGTTGAAGACATGAAAAGGTTGACTGTATTCGATCATAGATGTCTGCGATCTCTTTCTCACGTTAGGTGGTATAATAAGGTAAGTAATGCTGACTTTAGGCGTAGAGTGTTGGGCAAAGAGGCGAAATCAATCGACGAGGCTGTAAAGTTACATAGATTGAGATGGCTGGGTCACGTGCTGCGCATGCCTAACCATCGCCTCCCCCGACGGGTATTACTACCTGATATAGGTGCAGGCTGGAAAAGGGTAAGTTGTGGCCAAACAAAAACATGGCATCAGTCCATGAAATCCTTGACAGTTAAACTGAGTCAGGTAGGGAGATTCAGACTTCCGGGTTGGGGCCCTCGGGACTCTAGGAATCAATGGCTGGAGACAATAGGTGACACATGGCTCGAAATCGTTGTCACTGGCGCAGATGTATTCAGTCTCTGTAATCTTTCATATTTCATTCTACCATTACCCATTCTGTTTCACTCGTATAGTTGTCAAACTTATTGATTCTCTTCACTCATCTTCTTGTCTACCTCTGTGTGCTATTTGGAACGTGGCAACTCGAACTTCCGCACTTCGGTGCCAAGTTCTATGTTGAATCCAGACAGACCTTCCTCCCTAAACTGTGACTTAAGGTTCTCATGAAGTTGGGGAGGTGTGATTCTCATAGAAGCCCGTTTCCTATGTCCATTCCGTCGTAGGCATATACATGCTGTATTATCTGATGCCCTTGACTGTGTGTGATCTGTTATAACTGGATGTCTTCTTATCACTGTATTTACTTGCGTAAGCGTCAGATTTCTTGTTGACGCAACATTTGACCTTCCAATAGTGCCACTTATTCTCATCTGTTTGATAAATTTGATGTATACTCGCGTAGGTTTTAATTGCGAATTAGTCTTCTAGGGCTTCTCTGGCATTTTTCCTTTTTCTTCTATGTGAGACCTATTCTCAGTCAGACGGTACTTGGTGAGATTTTACACTTTCCAGTGATGCGTCAGTCTTGGTGTTGAATACAAATGTATATGAGGCTGCTACATTCTAAATGCTCCGAATCCGCCTTGCTAACGAATGCTTGTCTCTAACTAAGCCCGACATATTCCCGTCATCGGAAAATGTCTCTTCTATGCTGTGTAACCTCAGATGCTTCAGTTTTCTCAGTGATATTCTACTTTGTTTGTTACAAGATAACATCATTTCTAGGTGAATATTACCCATACTTCCCTGTAGTTGTTTCAACCTGATTTCATAATACACATTAATATATGTGCTCTGATGGTAGACATTCAATTTGTGTTTCTCTATTGACTGGAGCTTTTTGTGCTGTATCGACACCATGCACTAATTACTGATGGATAATCTCAGACTTTAATTGAGGAAAACTGATTGCAGTATTACTACTACTGCTGCTACTACCACTACTACTATTAACAATCATAGTTATATTATTGCTGTTACTGATACCTCAAATGTGGAAAAGTATTTCGTCTAGCACAGGTCAGCCGGCGGTCAAGTATACGGCTTACATGTGCTCTTAGTTACCATTGATATTATTACAATTGTTACTATTATTAGCTCCTTAGGTTCCTAGTGAGTCATACTGTCTTCGTCTACTGCATATAGCACAGGCGATTGACCTTAGAACTTAGTCATAGTAGTCATAATATTCATAGTGGTCATAATAGTCATTGTACTCATCCTAGTCATAGTAGTCATCATAACCATAGTAGTCATAATAGTCATTGTATCCATCATAGTCATATGTATCCATATGTTATGTGTGCTTGTTTGACAGTGTTTGGAAGAAAAGGTATCATCGCAAACCTAGTGGTCTTCTGATTTCTGTCTTTCTCGCGTCAGAACTATTAAATTCTCGACCAGTACAGAACAAAACCCAAGCCAAGGAAGACTGTATATTTATCATACCGCTGCTCATCGACAGATAGGAATACTTACAGGCGTGCAACACCTGCAATACTTCTTGACGTGAAGGGGGAATTTAACTGCATCGACTTTGTGGTATTGTGGCAATGTCTAGTCGTGAGGAGGGGGGGGGCAAGAATTTTCACTATACCAACTAATCAAGACACTGTAACTGAACTCATGCAGCCGTGTAACAGGTGATGGAAAGTTTTAGTTTGTATGCCTAATTCATGCATTATACTTATCTATGCTACTGACATATTGAAGTTCACTGTTAGAAATACGAAATACATTCAAATGAATCAGAAGAAAGACTCACCAAATTCTTATTATCTGAACATCCCCATTTTTTACCTATATTGCATATCATTGTCGGTAGGTCCTCCTCAGACGAAGTTGTATCATCGCTACCGTTAGAGCTTTGGAGACCTGTGGTCATGTCATTGTTTGCTGGATTCATTATATTTCTTCTCAGATTGTATATATCTTCCAATTCCAATAGAGCACAGGATGCAGACGATAATATGAATATTTTGATACTTCATGTTTTTTTTTAAATCTGCCTTCATAATATTTATGGTTCCATGACGGGTTTCGCCAAAGGCGATATCGATTGGTTTATTATTTTCAGCATTAGTCATCTGACGTATATCTATATTCTCGTCCGGTCTACTAGTATCACGAGAAAAACAACCCAGTTCCATTCTATCTTTGTTAGCTCGTAATAATTGCTTCAGATTCACGATATCCCATTGATACTGCAATATGCATCGGATTATCTAATTTAGCGTCAACTATATCAATCCTCGCGTGTAAATTTAACAGCATCGTCACAATACGCCTCTGATTGTGAAGTGTTGCAACGTGGAGTGGAGTATGACCCAACTATGAATTTAAGTAGAGAAAAGTGTTACATTTTAGAGATAGGAAAACAACTTGGAAGTTAGCAAATATTTTGGTATATAAAGTTGTTAGCAGAAGTCTTTTTTAAGTTGTACCCTTTTAATATCCATTCACAAGACATATCAGTAAGGAAACGTGTGCATTCATAAGGACTCTGATCGACATCATTCATCAGCAAGTTATTCAGTTTGCAGTTATTCTCATTCTGCGGTAAGCAGTATCAACAACGTGTATTGAGGCTTATATAATGAAATCTGTAGTTTATCGTCAACTGAATACTAAACAGTGTATGGCCATGTAGTCATGACTTTTCAGTAGTTCATAAACTCAGCAGTTCAAACTGAATTTATTCGCTCTTGCATTTCCTTGACATTTCTTAACTCAAAATAGTTTTCAACATACCTTTCTAAAAACAATAGGTTTATTTATTTACCAAATTATTCAAAGTTTTATAAAGTGTTAAGATAAAGTTTTTGTACATTATACTCAAAATAATAATAATAATAATCTTATTTGCGTATTTCTTTGGTTTAGTTTTGGCTTCCTTTTATCACAAACGTCTTATTTAATTCCCTTTTCTCTTGAACATCTATCAAAGTGTCGTTCGTTTTTTCCATCTGTGAGGACGATTGATCACATTTGTGGACTCTACAAATAACATATGTCGTATTTTTTTATTCTAGTCGTTACATTCTGAGGGTCCAGACTTTCTTCTCTGAGCAACTGTTTGAGATAACTGTACAGTCAAGACGCCGACCCCCCTCGTCAGAAGTGCTACATTTTGGCTGATTTGGTGTTAAAGGATTATTTTTCGTAAAACGCTTTCTTGTACTAGGTATTAGCGAAATATAAACATCCGCAAACAGTTGTTGCCCGTCATCTTAGGCTGATGCAGATGACCGGCTACAACTGTTTGCGGATGTTTATATTTCGCCAATACCTAGTACAAGAAAGCGTTTTACGAAAAAGAATCCTTTAACACCAAATCAGCCAAAATGTAGCACTTCTGACGAGGGGGGTCGGCGTCTTGACTGTACAGTTATCTCAAACAGTTGCTCAGAGAAGAAAGTCTGGACCCTCAGAATGTAACGACTAGAATAAAAAAATACGACATATGTTATTTGTAGAGTCCACAAATGTGATCAATCGTCCTCACAGATGGAAAAAACGAACGACACTTTGATAGATGTTCAAGAGAAAAGGGAATTAAATAAGACGTTTGTGATAAAAGGAAGCCAAAACTAAACCAAAGAAATACGCAAATAAGATTATTATTATTATTATTTTGAGTATAATGTACAAAAACTTTATCTTAACACTTTATAAAACTTTGAATAATTTGGTAAATAAATAAACCTATTGTTTTTAGAAAGGTATGTTGAAAACTATTTTGAGTTAAGAAATGTCAAGGAAATGCAAGAGCGAATAAATTCAGTTTCAACTGCTGAGTTTATGAACTACTGAAAAGTCATGACTACATGGCCATACACTGTTTAGTATTCAGTTGACGATAAACTACAGATTTCATTATATAAGCCTCAATACACGTTGTTGATACTGCTTACCGCAGAATGAGAATAACTGCAAACTGAATAACTTGCTGATGAATGATGTCGATCAGAGTCCTTATGAATGCACACGTTTCCTTACTGATATGTCTTGTGAATGGATATTAAAAGGGTACAACTTAAAAAAGACTTCTGCTAACAACTTTATATACCAAAATATTTGCTAACTTCCAAGTTGTTTTCCTATCTCTAAAATGTAACACTTTTCTCTACTTAAATTCATAGTTGGGTCATACTCCACTCCACGTTGCAACACTTCACAATCAGAGGCGTATTGTGACGATGCTGTTAAATTTACACGCGAGGATTGATATAGTTGACGCTAAATTAGATAATCCGATGCATATTGCAGTATCAATGGGATATCGTGACATCTTGAAGCAATTATTACGAGCTAACAAAGATAGAATGGAACTGGGTTGTTTTTCTCGTGATACTAGTAGACCGGACGAGAATATAGATATACGTCAGATGACTAATGCTGAAAATAATAAACCAATCGATATCGCCTTTGGCGAAACCCGTCATGGAACCATAAATATTATGAAGGCAGATTTAAAAAAAAACATGAAGTATCAAAATATTCATATTATCGTCTGCATCCTGTGCTCTATTGGAATTGGAAGATATATACAATCTGAGAAGAAATATAATGAATCCAGCAAACAATGACATGACCACAGGTCTCCAAAGCTCTAACGGTAGCGATGATACAACTTCGTCTGAGGAGGACCTACCGACAATGATATGCAATATAGGTAAAAAATGGGGATGTTCAGATAATAAGAATTTGGTGAGTCTTTCTTCTGATTCATTTGAATGTATTTCGTATTTCTAACAGTGAACTTCAATATGTCAGTAGCATAGATAAGTATAATGCATGAATTAGGCATACAAACTAAAACTTTCCATCACCTGTTACACGGCTGCATGAGTTCAGTTACAGTGTCTTGATTAGTTGGTATAGTGAAAATTCTTGCCCCCCCCTCCTCACGACTAGACATTGCCACAATACCACAAAGTCGATGCAGTTAAATTCCCCCTTCACGTCAAGAAGTATTGCAGGTGTTGCACGCCTGTAAGTATTCCTATCTGTCGATGAGCAGCGGTAAGATAAATATACAGTCTTCTTTGGCTTGAGTTTTGGCTTAATAGTTCTAAGGTCAGTCGTCTGTGCTATATGCAGTAGACGAACACAGAGTCTATTGGGAAGATTTAGTGAGATGTGATCAGTCATTTAGAATGCTTCTGTTCTTTCTATTAAATGACCGCTATAAAGTAAATAGAACAAAATGGAGCTTCGAATGGTTTTTGTTTGTTCTTTACCAAACCACGATGGTAGATGTTCAGTAACACATAGGCTAAGCACTTAAGTAGTAGCTCATATCTTAGTGTCTCTCGCTTTTCGTCATAGTCTGATGCCACCAGAATGAGTCTTGATGGGCCTTTCATTTTGGACGAAGTAGCGAAATTTCATAGACGCTTACTATCCTTTGGTTTCTGGCTACCAACTGCGTTGACCACTTTTCCTATGGGGACTGTATATCGTGATAGGCTTCGTCAGGTCTAGTTATGCTGTTAGTCTCAGATACGCGTCTGTCACCTTCCTCCCTGGACTACGTCAACTCCTAGCTTAGTGATAGGGAGTGAAGTTATAGAACATGTTGACCACTTCACCTATTTGGGAAGTTGTATCAGCACCAACGGACTGATTGGCGATGAAATCTCAGCACGGATCCAGAAAGCTCGAGCTGCTTTCGCTGACTTACACCATCTCTGGCGTAGGCGCGACATCCGGCCATCAACCAAGGGATGTGTGTACTGCTCATCAGTTCGCTCCGTCCTTCTCTATGGCTCTGAAACATGGCCAATACGAGTTGAAGACATGAAAAGGTTGACTGTATTCGATCATAGATGTCTGCGATCTCTTTCTCACGTTAGGTGGTATAATAAGGTAAGTAATGCTGACTTTAGGCGTAGAGTGTTGGGCAAAGAGGCGAAATCAATCGACGAGGCTGTAAAGTTACATAGATTGAGATGGCTGGGTCACGTGCTGCGCATGCCTAACCATCGCCTCCCCCGATGGGTATTACTACCTGATATAGGTGCAGGCTGGAAAAGGGTAAGTTGTGGCCAAACAAAAACATGGCATCAGTCCATGAAATCCTTGACAGTTAAACTGAGTCAGGTAGGGAGATTCAGACTTCCGGGTTAGGGCCCTCGGGACTCTAGGAATCAATGGCTGGAGACAATAGGTGACACATGGCTCGAAATCGTTGTCACTGGCGCAGATGTATTCAGTCTCTGTAATCTTTCATATTTCATTCTACCATTACCCATTCTGTTTCACTCGTATAGTTGTCAAACTCTATTGATTCTCTTCACTCATCTTCTTTCGTGAACTTCGTGTTCTCTTCTTTCTAAAAATTATTATTTCAAGTTTGATGATGAAGTAGCCTAAGATAGAGATCCACTGAAAACCAGAAACTACTAGATGGTAGTTTCGTCCTGATTTGAGTCTGAATTCCCAAGGAGATGCACCCATTTCTCCATCAAGTATCGAAATGAAGACCTAGAGGTTAAACGCAAGCATTCAGATTATTCATCTACTAGGATAGAGCTCAACAAATTATCAAATAAACTTCTTCCACTTTGTAAAATGATGAACAGCTAGCATAAGACGTTGCCTTACAGAACCTATTCAGTGGATTCTGCTTATCACTATATCTGAAGAGAAATTCAGTCAAATCCATCTATTTTTCGAACACAAAAGGTCACTTAGTTTATTTTCGGAAGTTGCTTTTCAATAACTGGATTGATTTAAAACTCCATCAATAAATTAAAATCTAGTAGCTAAATGATCAACGAAACTGCCTTGTTTGCTTGGCATGCCATCGTTTCGTATTACAGATGAGTCTCAAATAAGCACAAATAAATTAAATCCCTGGAAGCAACAGATGGGAAAATTACTCATGACTAACACGACGAATGCACTAAGGTAAAAAAGTACAAACATACGTTTGCCATCAATCTGTGAGCTTTATTCATAGTCAGACGGAAACAACATGTATTGACTATTGTATCATTTTGTTCTTATCTTCAAATCGGTGAGAACTGTGCAATCAAAACTGCATCAGCGAGTTCGACAATGCAAATGTGAATATACTGCATCTGGTATTTTGATGGAACAAATGCCACTTGTCTGACCAGTTTAGTTTTATAAATCAGCTCGATGTTATTCCATGTCATATGTTTGTCATGTGCACTAATCTCTTTAGTAAAGGTGACTTATTTGAAAACGTCATGATAAGAATGTCCAGTAATCAGTGTTTATCCTTTAATCGGAGAAGAAGTCATGCGATGCCTATTACACTGCTTTTTTTCGTTTCTTTATTGTTAACATTACAGTTACCAAGACTGAATGAAAATACAGACAGCGTTACAGATGTTTATTACTCAATCAAATATTGAAGTCAAAATTTCATTTGGAGACTTAGGAGTAAAAGCGGCACTGGTGAAAACTTGATAGAAGGTATTAGCTGAGTACGACCGACACCACCTAAACAACCAGAACAATGTTGCTAAGTGTGACGTATAAACTATCTTCATCACGGGACAGGATGATTCAAAAATGACTTGCGTTCCAGTCAACCACGTTGTATTCAATGAGGAAGAGAAGGAAATTCCATTTTCTGATGTCTTAGTGAAGCAAGCGAACGCAGAAAAATTTTAGCAGTATTGGAGAAGAACATCAGTCAGCACCTACACAAAAGTGCTGTTTCTTCGTCTTGCAATTAAAATACCCAGAAACCTTCAGTGACCAACTCAATGAGAAATAGACATAAAAGATTTTTCACGATAAAGATTCACTGGAATTAACAAACTTCAACTCAAGATAACCGAAATCAGGAAGCGCCTGCCAAAAATTCTGAATTACCAGAGTAGTTTCTCCGGAAAGAATTGATCACTTTGTTCAAAATTGTTCAGTTAAGCGCTGAGAATTCGAAGAAGAATTCTCTGTCTGGATTTCAGCAGATGTGTTTATGTTTTCCTTCATGAGACTATTTTAGATCAAATCTATCCCCTAATAATGTTATTCAAATCCCCTTTATCTCATATTTTATATTAAATGCCTCAGATAAAATTAAATAATGAAATTTCGTAATTGTGAATAGGCATTTAGCGAGCACGATATCTAAGAAGTGCTTTATGAGTTCAACACCTACTTGGGAACTAATTGATATTGAGTTATAACATTTCGTGGTCTGTAGTTGATAAAAGCATGTTCAGAATCCATGTTTTAATTAATTGTTATCTGGAAAACATATCATATTCCAGTTAAAAGATATTTATACACCCACGAATGTCAATAGGTTTTGTGGGCATGGTGGATTCTCATTTTCAAAGATAGAGTATATTGCTGTGAACAGTCCGAGAATTTCCAACCATAAACAGAATGCTCGAAATATAATTGTGCAATAAGTGCTCTTGTATGAGATGCAAAGCCGCAGTCTGTTCATTATCAAGAACATCGCCATGAAATGTAGGAAATTAAGCAACGATGAATGAATCAAACCTACTAATTGGTACATTTTTGGCTATACAGAGTATTTTAATCAGTGTATCATATGATTCATGAATTTCTAGATGTCAAACAGTGAACAGTGCATTCGATAAAACTAAACTGACCTTTGAAACCTAGGATAAGCCTATATGCTACAATTGTCTGACGGGAGAGGATCACAATGCGGTCCCGGGTGAATAGTAACCTTTCTGAGTGGTCTGCACTCTTGAAAAATAATTTATACTTCACATCACACATCATCACTAAATTATGTGTGTGTGTGTGGAAATTTTCAAGATTTAAATCTAACGAGTCCCATTCCGCTAGCAATATCTACTGCTATGCATTGAAAACAAACGTCCTAAACAGTAGATGACTTAACAAACGCTACATTTTACATTAGATATCGGTATAGAAACATTAAAACATCATTATAATAAGCTGGCTCACTCCAGATTACACAGATATTGAATTGGAACTTACTAAAACCACAGCGATACCGAAGCAAACTGAAATGGTATTTGTGTAAATCCGCTAAAATTATGCAAAACAAATTCAACATCAGAAACTGTCTTGTTAAACTTTAAACAAAAATCAGGATTTTGTATTAGTTAGCTGAAATGTCTTTCATTCATTGTCACTAAAGTTCCACTCCACTACTAGAATTGCCGATGAATGTACTGCATCTGCGTTATCATTACGATAATTCCTGGAAGATTTCACTCTACATTTACCTGACGCACCCTAACCTCACAAAAGTTCATTAACACTGTTGATAGTGCATGACTGCAAATTCAGTCAGTTTATTTTCAATAGAATAAACGCCTTCATCTGTTATCAAGTATATGGTGGAATACTGTATTAGATGGGTGAACAGATAGATTCAAAAAACCGTGGAACTTATTTTGACGACTCTCAAGGACCGTGAAAGAGGACTGAAAAGAAGCAAGTTGACGTCTGCAGGAATGAAACAATAGTCCAGTTTACGATTCATCTTCTCTAATCTCATGAAATGGTTTATAGTCATGCAGGTATAACCTCCTAAATACATGGAATCCACGTCTTTGTTTTCCATATGTAGCATTATTTAAATCAACAGTCACCAGTG